TCTTAAAGTGGTTTTAATTTGCATTTCCCTGATTATTAGTGATGTTGAACATCTTTTAAGATGTTTCATAGCCATCTACTTATTCTATGTTGTAATTTAAAAAAAAAGTTAAAACCTCATTCAATTTTATGTCTTATAAGGGTTATACTGAGTTCAATATTGTATAACTGTATTAATTTAACTGTGAACCTCAAAAATTACAGCTAATTTTGAAAGAGAAGCATCTTTGCTCTGGAAATTGTTATTGAATATGTTAACGCTGTAATGAAATGCTTCTAATCATGTGGTTATTAAATAATTAAAAAAAAAAAAGATGTGTATGAATATTTTGTCTGCAGGTATGCAAGCACACCCATGCATGCAATCCGCCTTGCAGAGACCAGAAGAGGTTGTAGGATACCCTGATACTGGAGTTATGGATGGTTGTTAGTTGCCAGGTGGGTGCTAGGAATCAAACCTGGGTCTTCTGCAAGAGTAGCCAGTGTTCTTAACTTCTGAGCCATCTCTCCAGATTTTATTTATTTATTCATTTTTTGAGATAGAGTCTCCCTGTAGCCAGCCCCAGCTGACCTGGAATTCACTATGTAGATCAGGCTAGCCTCAATCTCACAGAGATCTACCTGACTTTACCTCCTGAGTGCTGGGATTAAAGGCATGTACCACCACGCCTCACTCTTAAGATTTTATATTTTTAACTATGTGTACACATGTGTCTGTGGGAATGTCACATTGAGAACGGGTACTAGCAGAGGCTAGAAGAGGATGTTGGATTCCCCAGGAACTGGAATTACAGGTGGTTGTGAGTTGCCTGACCTGGTTGCTGGGAATTGGACTCAGGTTCTCTGAAAGACCAGCAAGTGCTATAACCACTGTGCTATCTCTCTATCCCTCCACCTTGTTTTTTGAGACAGGGTCTCTCACTGAACCTGGAGTTCACAGACTCAGTTAGCCTGGTTGGCCAGCAAGTCCCAAGGCTCCTCCTGTCTCGACCTCCTAGTGCTCTAAGCACAGCAGCATGGTGCTGCTCCCTGCTTCTTTATGTGGGTACTGGGGATCAAACTCAGGGCCCCATGCTTGTGCACCAAGCACCTCGCCAACAGGGCCATCTTCCCAGCTCCACTTCCCCTTTTGTGAGTACTATTTGCATTCTCCAGGGGCCACAGGGAAATAGAGCCACCTAGAAGGGTAGCTTCTGGTCCCCAGGGCCTCCCTCCTCTGCCTTCAAGTGTCTCCAGCTGGGCAGAGAATGTCCTGTTCCTAGATTATCACACAGTTCTGTGCCAGCAAAGGAGATAATTATGCTGAAGGAGGTACTTGGCATTCTGACTACAATGTCACATGTCAGAAATGGGAAGAGGAGGCTGCTGCGGCCAGCTATGTGGTCACTAAATAGAGAAGGTGGGATTCCTTTTCAAATTTGAAAGCTTTTTTTTTTTTTTGGTCTTTTTGAGACAGGGTCTCCCTGTAGCCCCAGCTGTCCTGGAACTCACTATGTAGAGCAGGCTGGCCTCAAACTCAAAAGATCCGCCTCTGCCTCCCAAGTGCTGGGATTAAAGGCATGTGCCACCATGCCCAGCCAGGAGATCTATTTTAAGTCATATAAGTTAAATGCAATAAAACATGGTACTTAATCTCTAACACTTTAAAGTAAAACACTGTCTGATCATTTTATTTATACTGTTAAAAACCTTTACTTTTTTTCTTTATAAAGAGCACAATCAGTGGGCTCCCTGACAGGAGGTACGCTGCCATTACGGGAGTCCCCTGACCTGCTGACTTTATGCTGATCTGAGTTAGATCCATTAATTTCATCTTAGACCCTATGGCAGGTTCCTGAGGCAGCCAAAGAATGAATGGACTGTACTTTCCAAAATCTTTGAGCTACACCAGCTGTGAAAAGCTGAACTTAAAAATTCTGTTTTAGGGGGCCGGCAAGATGGTTCAGTAGGATGAGGTGCTTGTTGGAAAGACTGGAGAACTGAGTTAGATCCCCCAAACCCATGTAAAGGTGGAAGGAAAGAAATCACTCCACAAAGTTGTCTTCTGACAGCTATGCGCTGTGGCATATTCCCTCCCCCCATATCACGTATATATGTACACACACATTAATAATAATTATAATAAATAAAACGTTAAAAAAAAATCCTGTTCTAGTGCTTTCGACCACAGCTGCATCTCTGTTCCTTCTGGTAAGCACAGTAGAAATGACAGGGTCTGGGGTTCTGGAGACAGCCAAGTCCTGTGGCCTTTGGCCTCAACAGCTGGAGGAAGTAGAGCTCTCAGTAGGCTGTTGAGTAGGCTTGTGTGAGTCTCAGAAGTGGTTCTAGGAACGTACTGTTTCCTCCCTGACCCAATCAGACATGCAGCTGCCACCGAAAACCTTCACAAAGGGACACTGATTTTGACATTTTGCTTTTTCACCCCCAGGGTCTGAGGAGATGTACAGCAAGTTGTCTTTCTCAGGAGGGGTGCCTCTCAAAGAGAAATGACTTTGTACCTAGGGCCTACAGCTTAGGGATGGTGGGGACACAGTGGAGACTACAATGCCATCTCTCAGTCCTCCGCACAACTCACAGTCCACGTTCCACTTGATGCTCCTGGGAGGAAGCTTCAGGGTCTCGTTGATCTTCTCCAGTACGGTCTGCAGCTTTTGCTTCTGAGCAATCTCAGACTGGGTGACCTCCGCCACATTGAGCTTCTCGCTCTCCAGTTTCTCTGGGGTGACAAGTGGGGAAAGAGCAGCTGTTATCTTGGGCCACAGAAAACCCAGACTCATGCATCTATTTCTTCATTCATTCATGTATGAGCCCACTCACTCAATCACCAAACACACATAGTCAGGCCTGGGTATCCAGAGGGGGCTGGTTCTAGGATCCCCCTATAGATACCAAATCCCCAGACAGTTAAGTCCCCTATGGAAAATGGAATAGCGTTTTCACAAAGCCCACACAATTCCCTCATATGCTTCAATGATCTCTGGATTGTTTATAAAACCTACTACAGCATAAAGACTGTTACAAGCTCTTACTCTATATTGTTTATGGGATCATGACAAGAAGAGTATGGGTATGTTCAGACAATGCAAACTTTCCCAATATTTCAATTTTTAGTTTGTTCTCATTCTATTTTTGTTGTTGTTGTTGCTGTGATAAATTACCCTGATTTTTAAAAAAAGCAACTTAAGGGAGAAAGGATTTATTTTAACTCACAGTTCCGGATTACTGTTCATTGCTTAGGGGACATTACAGCAGCAGGAACCTGAGACAGCTGGCCACATCACACCCACAGTCACGAGCAGAGAGAGATGAATGCATGCTTGCTGGCTCGCTTGCCTGAGCTCAGTTTGATTTCTCCACTCGTCCAGCTCAGGACCCTCTACCTAGGGAGTGGTGCTGCCCACAGTGGGCTGGGTCCACATCGAAACAACCCTCCACAGACATACCCACAGGCCAACCCAGTGCAGACAGGTCTCCATGGAGACTGTCTGTCTTCCCAGGAGATTCTAGGTTGTGTCAAGTGGACAAGTAAAGCTAATGTCACACGGTTGATTGAATCTGCAGGTGTGGAACCCTCAGATGTGAAGGGCCAGCTGTGTTGAATACCTACAGGAGGGATGATGCTCCTTGTCCGATGGTAGCATCCATCCTGGGGAAGTCTTGTGATTGTGCTGTGGAGCCCCCAGGACCACAGGCGTGGGGCATTTGACTTGTCATCTTTGAACTATCTTCATCCCTGGTCTTCCCTCTTCTTTTCCATTCCGTCTTTTCCAAGGACACCCCTTGTACCCCCAGCTGGCTAGTTCTGTCTGTGTCCTCTGCCAGAGCCAGTCATACCCTTCTTTGAGGCACACTGCCCCTCTGGTATATACTACTGTCTCGCCCAACCATGCCAGTCTTACGTAAGCACCTTCTTCCCCTCCTTCCCTGCCCTTCACCCCAAAAAAGAAACGTATTTGAAGTGTCATATTTTGTCAGTTCTAAAACACACGTTTTCACATCCTTAAAACCAGGCTGTGCCTCAAAGTTGGTCTATTTACAGGTGCTGCCAGCCAGGTGGAAGATACAAGAGTTATGTGTGAGCATGGCCAGAGTCTCTCACAGGATGATCACATCCATGTTCCAGTGAGTTGCAAGAGTGACTTCAACAAGTGTCAGATACAGATTCCAAGCAAGAAGAAAGCCCTGGAGAGAGCACGGTGGAGAGAGTTCTCAGAAGAAAGCCCTGGAGAG